TGCCAGCATCATGTTAATTAGTATAATTGTGACACACGTCATTTCTAGTATCATGGAAAGTTCTCATTATTGTTTTACTTTCCTTTTTGAAAAATTTTGTTTCAACATTAGTTTGGTTGTTACTTGCATATTCATTTCTCCAGATTCATTTCCCAAAAATACTTTTTTTTTACTTGTAATATTATAAGCATTTTCCATATCATTAATTTTTTTTTTTTTTTTTGCAGTTTTTGGCCGGGGCTGGGTTTGAACCCACCACCTCCAGCATATGGGGCCAGTGCCCCACTTCTTTGAGCCACAGGTGCCACCCTTTAAAAATTATTTTCAAATGCAAAAGTGGGCAAGCCAACCTTGACCAGAAGGTGATGGTTGGAGAAAAGAGAAAAGAATGAAGAAATACACCCAGCTACTTGTGAGGCTGAGAGAGGAGGATCACTTGAACCCAAAAGTTTGAGGCTGCTGTGACCTAGGCTGACACTGTGGGACAGAGTGAGACTTTGTCAAAAAAAAAAAAAGGAAGGAAGGGAAGGGAAGGGAAGGGAAAAAGGAAGAGGAGAGAAGGGAAGGGAGGAAGGAAAGAACTAAGTCAGATATTATGGAGTTTTTGCTCTATCCATTTTACAAATAGTTCCTCCAATGTGTTCCAAAACCTTACCACACCACCCAAGGCACAAATGACAACTCTCTGTGGGAAAGAGGATGTCGTGGGATAGCTAGGATATAATGGTATATTCTTAGAGGTAAAAGAAAGAATACAGGACCAGTAGTTAAGAGGAATCATAGCCATATAAAATTAAAATGCCTAGAGTAACTTAGAAAACTATCTATGGCTCACGTTTTTTACTTTATTTTTCCCTTTTATAAACATAAGTTTCTAAGAAGCCACTGAAAATCTTTATTATGCCCCCTGTCTAATTTATGGCACGTAGAGCTGCATTTCCAAGAAATGCAGAATCACAGAGTTCATCTTTTGCCCAATGCAGGAATCCCCCTGCAGCAGTTGGGGTGGTTCTGTTCAGCACTGGCTGAGAAGGCCCTGACTCACTACCTCACTGAATTCTTTCCATGTTTAAAGAGCTCTAAGTACAGTAGAACTGTCAGTTGACCACCCAAAGAACTGCAACAAACTGGTCAACATATAAAGGTGGTCAACATAAGGAACTAGGCCTACTGTGGTGCATGTCACGTCCAACCCATGAAAATAAGGTCAACTTAAGGAGGCGGTCAGTGTAGGGAGAAGGTCAGCTATGGAGGTTGTACTGCATTAGAAAGTTCTTGCTACTACAAAGTCAAAATCTCTCTGCCAGAATGCCCAGGCCCCTCTCAGCCCTGGTTCTATCTTTCAGAACTGACCCAGACCTTCACTGATTTGAAGGTGACACCTACCTCCCCGTTCAGTTTTATCTTTAACAAGCTTATTGCTCCTCATTCCTTAACTATTCCTGATAAGACATAGTTCCAGGCTCCAGACTTCTCAATATCCTGGTCTCTTTTCTGGAAATTTTGCAAAATAAGCCAATTATTTCTTTTAAAGGTGAAACCCAGAAGTTAACATAATTCTTCAGATTCTATCTGACCAGTGCAATAAATTGAGAAAATCTCATTCCTTACTCCGCTTTTCTTTTGAACTTAATGCAGCTAAGGTTACACTTGCTTTTGAGGTAAGAAACTTAGGTTTTAACTACTATTCAGACTTGTCATCAACAAAAGAGCTGAGGCCCTTTTTACATCAACTAGAGAATGAATTTCACAGGTGCAATTGGACTCCTAACTTGCTTTGGTTGAAGAAACCATTTGAGAGAAGTCTTCAAGGCCAAGGTTAGGAAAGGCTCTTCCTTGTATTTATGGGCGCTATGAAAGTGTCCTGTGCCCAGGAAAGACGGTGCTTGCCCACCAGTGAAGAAACCGGTGGTTGTGCCCTCTTAGGGCGTCTTGTTTTAGTTCCTGTTCTCTGTACTGGCAGAAGCATTTGATACAAGGCCTCTGCCGTTTTTTCAGTTTTGCTTCCTGTTTTGCAGGATTAGTTGGGAGCAGTGAGAGATTAAACAGCTTAAATTTCTGTCTTGCCTATGCCAGTGTGTGCCCAGCCATGCAAACTGGAAATTAATACTCAGGACCCCAGTTGCTCCATGTCTCTTGTCCTGGGATCCTGAAGAACTTTAGCCAGGGACCTCCTGGCTGCTTCTCTCTAATCTACAGAACAGAGAGCCTAACTCCTGGGGTGCTCTTCCCTCCCCCATGAAGCAAACGCTAGGTGCACCCAGGCGGACTGTGCATGCACAGGCAGGGGCCCCGAAGTGGGTCCGCCACTAGAGCTAAGTCCTAGGTAGAGGGCGCAGCCTCCCTAGCCGGGTCTGATGGGGCCTCTCCTGCTGCCTCCAGGCCGGAAACATCAGGAATATTAGCAAATCGGTCCTGCTTGAAATCCAGAAGACTATTTCAGTTTTTTTTTCTTTTACCCTAAATCTTGACACAACACAGCGGGCCAAGGAAGGAACTAAGCACTGGTTTTAACCCGCGGGAGGAGGCAGGTGGGGTAGGGGGGCGGGGAAATGGGCGGACGCTCCGGGAGCTGCTATTGGTGGGCGAGGAGCACGTGATCCTGAGAGCGCACGTTCCATTCCATAGCCACATACAAGTTTCTTCAACTAGTTCATTGCCTTTGGGCTCAGCAACCCCCCCCCCCTTTTTTTTTTTTTTTTTTTTTTTGGCGGTGATAGAGGGCTTACTTTCTCTCGTTTTTTTTTTTTTTTTAAGAGCATACAAACTGTTTTGGAGTAGATTGCACACACCTCCTAACACTGCTGTTCTTCCTGGCAAATTCAGTCCCAGAAGAAATACAAAATGGCCGGGTTTGTCTTTAACTTATGCTACCAAGTAAGGTGTAGAGAAGGTGTTGGGAGGTGTCTTCTCTCTCTTTGGTGCGGCAGGGAAAACCAGCAGCATCCTCTACCCAACCTGTGACTCAGTCTGGGTGGTCCTGAGCCCAGGTGCAAAAAAGCATATGGCTGAGGGGAAGAAACGCGCTCTGTGCGCCCAGTTCCCTCCTCCCTGCCTTTGGAACTCTGCAGAGCCCGGGGCAAGGGGCAGAGTGCAGAGCCAGACAAAGCCCAACCCCTCCTCTTAGCCTCCGCTAAGGTGTGGGACAGCTGTGAACCGTTACCACATTGTTTCACCTCTTTATCTTACGGCCCCAAACCCGGCTGCATCTCTCAGGGTTCATCCCTAGACTTAGCAAAGCTGTTCCGCCCCGTGTAATAAGGCAGATCCAGGTCCTGTACCAGATGCGTTTGTCCAGGGTTAAGATTCACCTAACAGTTGGTTACCTATGTACTTGTACACAGTCAAGGTGAATGAGAACTAACTGCAAATCATCAAATAAAATACCACCAAAAGATGGGGAGGACAGTTATCATTCTTGAACGAATAAGCAAACCTATCCGGCTCACTCTCCACATTCTCCATTTTAGGAAGAGCCTGTTGAAACGAGCAAATCTTACTAGAAAGCTGCAATAGAGCTGGGCGCGTCTTAGCGATCTACTCTGAACCTTTACACCCCAAAGGGTATTCATTGACTGTCCAATGATTTAAGATGTCGTGTCCAACTTTTTTAAAAAACATTTTAGCATGAAAAATTTCAGGCAAATCCCAGAGAAGAGAATCCTCCATAATCCACCATCGAGCTTCAACAAATTCAACTCGTGGCTGATTTTGCATCAGTTTTATTCCATTCATTCCTCTCCTACACCGAGGATTGTGCTGAAGTGAAGAAAACTCATCGTGGCGTTTTATTCCTAAATACACAATGTGCCTCTCTAAGAGGTAACAAACTTTAGTTTTAGATAATCATCTGCTTGTTGCTATCAGGGGGCTCTGGTCTTTGAAGCAGAGCCTCTAGACAGCTGAGCTCCTTCAAGAGAAGCCTGTGGAAACCTTGTGGGGTGGGGGTCAAGCCACCAGAGGAGCAAACCCATGCAATCATGGTTAGGCGTAAAAATCAAAGAGGGAAATTATGCAGATCAGTCATGGTCTTTTGATGGCCAACTCTGATCTTTTCATGAAGAAGCAGAGAGAAAGGTGAGAAATTTACTTTAGAGTTACTGGGATTAGTCCTTTTGCAACACTAGGGAACAGTGGAAAAAGAATTCTACACCATGAGGAAGACCTGTTACTGGTCATGCGACAGTGACTCACTATGTGACCAGGGTCATTTCTTACCTATCTGTCTTGGAGATGTCTCTCCAAAAACTACAGAAACCCGAGTTCCTTTCCATATCATGGGAAATAAATGTTTCCTTTCGTTCTTTTTAGAGAAAATTAATACAGCAGCAACGTAAACATTATATGTTTTATAACATGTAAGTATCATAACTAACACAACTTTATTTTTGCTTGTTACCTCCCATAGGAGTGGTTCAAAGATAGTTGCACTGACAGTGTACATTACCATTTTATGCAGAAATATTTAATACAAATAAATCCACCCATTTGAACAGCAATACAGAACATATGCCTGTCAGCCCTCTTGGGGTGTCAGCCCTCACTTCTCAAGGACAGGGAAAGCTTACTTTACACCCTGTTGCACCCTTCCTCCAAGTAGCCTGCCCTCAGGGGCACTGGTTTCTTTCTCTCTCTCTCTCTTTTTTTTTTTTTTTGCAGTTTTTGGCCAGGGCTGGGTTTGAACCCGCCACCTCCGGTACATGGGACTGGTGCCCTGTTTCTTTGAGCCACAGGTGCTGCCCGGAGCACTGGTTTCTTAACAGAGGCATAAACTCTGAAGCCAGATTAGTTTAGAATCTGAGTTCCCTCATTTCCTACCTCTGCTACCTTGAGCAAGACCCTTAACCTCTTTAGACCTCAGTTTCCTCATCGAAAAACTAAGTTAACTACTAGATTTGTTCCTTTGGTGGTTGTAGGATTAATTAATGTTAATTGTTAATATGAACCAGCGAAACATCCAGACAATGAAATGTTATCCAGTGCTAAAAAGAAATGAGCTATGCTTGTTTGGGCAGCACTATATTAAAATTGGAACAGTACAGAGAAGATTGGCATGGCCCCTGTGCAAGGAAGACATGCAAATTCATGAAGTGTTCCATATTTTTTAATTATTATAGGAAAGAAAAGAGAAATGAGCTATCCAGCTGTGAAAAAATATGAAGGAAACTTAAGTGCATGTTACTAAGTAAAAAAAGCCAATTGGAAACAGCTACAGATTGTGTAATTCCAACTATATGGCATTCTGGGAAAAGTCAGACCTTAGAGATAGAAAAAAGCTCAGGGGTTGCGTGGAGTTTGGGAGGCAGGAATGAATGGGTGAAGCACAGGGGATTTTTAGGCCAATGGAGCAACTCTGTATGATACTGTGATGATAGATATGTGTCATTACACATTTGTCCAAACCCAGAGAATGTTTGTTGTTTTTTTTTCTTGTTTTGCAGTTTTTGGCTGGGGCTGGGTTTGAACCTGCCACCTCTGGTATATGGGGTCAGCGCCCTACTCCTTTGAGCCATAGGCACCACCCCAAACCCAAAGAATGTGCAACACCAAGAGTGAACCCTTGTAGAAACCATAGATTTGGGGTGATAACGATGTGTCGATGTAGGTCGTCAATTTTAACAAATGGACCACGGAAGGGATATTGGTAGTGGGGGAGTCGTGCGTGAGAGGGGGCAGGTGCAGATGGGAACTCTCTCAGTTTCGCTGTGAACCTAAAATCATCCAAAAACTAAAATCTTTTTTAAAAATAATAATAATAGGAAGCACTTAGAACACTACTTGGCCCATAGAAAATACCATGTAAGTGTCTGGCTTTATTCTTCCTCCTAGCTTAATAAACACACCATTTTCACCATGAACAGTAACCCCTCACATGAGCACAGCAGCGGGGGTGTAGCTCTCACCCCACTTTCACTCACCCTATCACTCTCTGGCCATAATCTGTGAGGGGTCAGCCCTGGGGGATTCAGAAGCAGAACAAGAAGAATGCAAAGATTTAGCTGCCATTAGGCCTGCTACGATGGGGAGAAATTAGAACCAAACCAAAGATAGAATGATAGGAGGTTGGTTGAATAAGATGTAGTCATCATCGCTGAGGCAAAAGAACATTAAATGATATCAAAATTGCTCATGCCGAGTCCTGTGAAAAAGGAAAGTTATAAGAAAGTAAGTAAAGTAGGAACCTAATGTGCTTTTTTTTTTCTTTTGGTATATTATGCTTGTTAAAAAGACCAGCGAGATATCCATCAAAATATTAATGTTGGTTAATTCTCAATGGAGTAATATGAAGTCCATTTCTTTACTTCTTCATGTTTGAATTCTCGTTTCTTTTTTTTAGACATCATCTCGCTCTGTTACCCTGGATAGAGTGCTGTGGCATCATAGCTTACAGCAACCTCAAACTCTTGGGCTCAAGTGATTCTCTGGCCTCAGCCTCCCAAGTCGCTGGGAGGACTACAGACACCTACCACAACACCTGCCTATTTTTAGAGGCAGGGTCTCACTCTTGCTCAGGCTGGTCTTGAACTCCTAAACTCAAGCAATCCACTGCCTTGGCCTCCCAGAATGCTGGGATTACAGGCATGAGCCACCACGCCTGGCCTTGTGTTTGAATTTTCTCACTGCTACATAATAAATGTGGGTTACTTTTAAAATGAGGAAAGGTTATTGTTTAAAATAGAGTACATAATTGCACATGCAGTGTGATTCACTTACCAAAAAAATATGGTAAAATATTAATGGGAGAACTGTGAGTCATTTTTTTCTTTATATTTTTCAGGTTTTTCTAGGTTTTCTAGTCTAAGAGCCATAAGTTGTTTTTATGAAGAAGGTTTAGACAGAGAAACTGAGGCATAGTAGGTGGGCAGAAAAGCTCTCTGGCTGGAGACACACGTCTGTGCCTGTCTTGCTCTGAAAGAACAGGGCATCATCCAGAGAGATGCCCCACCTTTGGGTTCATCCCTGATGTGACTTAAAGCTCAGGGCTGTGACCAGCACATAGTGACATAATCTGCCCCAGCAGACTGTGACACAGCAACATCACCCAGCTACAGAGCCAGATGGTAGGGAGGAGCCCTGGGGGCAGATGTGTCTATCAGTGGTAGGAGCCCACCCAGTCCACACCTCTTGGGCCTCCCTGGTCTACTTCCCTGGCAAGAGCATCTGCAATAAAATAAAATAGAAACAAAAACATAAGTGGGGAAAGAAAAGGAAAAAGGGAGAATGAGAGAAAAGTATTTTCTAGATAAGGCAGTTGGATATGATGGGTAACCCAGAAGCCAGGCACGGGGCGTGGGGTGGGGGTGGTCCAACATGAAAAGCTATGGCTTAGAAGTCATAGGCTAAGGACAGGCAGTGGCGGCAAAAACACCTGGCGGGCCGGATAAATGTCCTAGGCGGGCACAGATGGCCTGTGGGCCATAGTTTGAGGATGCCTGCTCTAAATATTGCCCAAGTCTGTTTGAAGGTAATTACCTGTCTTTGGACAAGGGTGGTCGCTAGCAGTGAGTTCAGGGCAAGAGTGTGGAATCGGAACAACATTGAACATTTGGATGGTAGGAAAGAATAATTTTCCCTTATTCCCTATCCTCCCAATTTTTCCTTTGTAGGGTGCTATTAATATCCTACCAAGCCCTTCCACTGGCATTGGTTGGGCTTTGTGCATTGATTTAGATTCAGGGTGAACCCTCCGGGCCTAGCTCTGGAGAAGGAAACAACAGAAATATATGACATGATCTTATTCCCAAATCCAGAGGAAGTGACTAGCACAGGTCGGCAACAGATTCTGAACTAAAGTGTATGACCTGGTCCATAAGTATGTGTATTTTAAATTAACACCAACTCCCAACAAAACACACCCCCTGTCTGTTCCTACCAGCTGAGCTGGTAATCAATGTGCTGGAGCAGTGGTCCTTTGTGTAAGAATGCAGGACCTATAGAGTGACCACCTTGCACCATGCCCGGGCACTCTGAGGATGCATTAATGTTGACCCTTAAGCAACAGCACCTAGGCCTTTTAAAAGGCCTGGCAGTGTTTCTCTGTGTCCTACCCAGCAGAAAATATAGAGGAGAGAAGATAGTTCCTGGGAGTCAAAATCAAATTCAATGGCTTCCAAGCTGCTCCTGGCAAGGCCCAACAGCAGGGTCCACCCCTCCTTTGGGGGCTGTATTCACTTAATTGACTTAAGGTTTCTTTCTCTTTTTTAAATGTCCAGTTCAAGCCTCACGTTTTCTATTTCCCTATTACTGAGGTCTCTGATAGCTCCTCCTGCTCAAGTCGGGGTTATGATCCAATTAAAACTCACTAATGATTTACAGGCTATGTTTTGTGTTTATGTTTTCAATCTGTGTATGTAATACTTGCAGAGGGTGTGGCAGCCTATACCACGGAGCCTCAACAAAGCTTGACAATCCTGTCACCGGCAAAATAATGGTAAACAGCATTCTTAGTATCTAAGGATTATGTTCTATCACTTAGCCCATTATTAAGTGAATTGCGGGGAACAGTTTTGTAGCTGACTTGAAAAGCAAGTGGATCAAAACCTAATGCTAGCCGTGACTCAGACCTTAGTCCATGCCAATTAGATTTTTGGAATATTTTCATCAGCAAAAGGGTTACAAGCAAAACAGTCATAATTAAAAAGAGTAATTTACATTCCTTTTCGAAGGATGTTTGGAGATCACTTAGAGAACTAAAAATAGACCTGCCATTCGATCCTACCATTCCTCTACTAGGTATATATCCCAGAAGACCAAAAATCACATTATAACAAAGATATTTGTACCAGAATGTTTATCGCAGCCCAATTCATAATTGCTAAGTCATAGAAGAAACCCAAGTGCCCATTGACCCACAAATGGATCAATAAATTGTGGTATAAGTACACCATGGGATATTATGCAGCCTTAAAGAAAGATGGAGACTTTACCTCTTTCATGTTTACATGGATGGAGCTGGAACATGTTCTTCTTAGCAAAGTATCTCAAGAATGGAAGAAAAAGTGTCCAATGTACTTAGTCCTACTATGAAACTAATTTATAGCTTTCATATGAAAGCTATAACCCAATTATAACCCAAGAATATGGGGAAAGAGGAAAGGGAGGGGAGGAAGTGGGAAGGATGGATGGAGGGAGGGTAATTGGTGGGACCATACCTATGGTGCATCTTACAAGGGTACATGTGAAACTTACTAAATATAGAATATAAATGTCTTAACACAGTAACTAAGAAAATGCCATGAAGGCTATGTTAACCAGTGTGATGAAAATATTTCAAATTGTATATAAAACCAGCACATTGTATCCCATGACTGCATTAATGTACACAGCAATGATTTAATAAAAAAATTTTTTTTAAAGAGTAATGTGTATAGTCAGTGGTAATTTCAATAAGATAAGGTGTACTAAACATCAACTTTATGAACAAACATTACATAAGAACACAATACATCCAAGAAACATTTCAGGTCTGAAACCCACATGCCAATTCCTTCTGGGGAAAGGATAATAAAACATAAATTTTCTTTCCATTTACACATCCAGTCCCAAAGCTAATAGTTGGTATGTTTGCCTTGTTACAAAATTTAGAATTACAAGCTATTATCCCGTATATGAAGTTGATAAGTTATATTCCATGCCAAAAAGATAAATATTTTGAGATAGACCCCTCCATCCAAGACAGCAATATATGACTGAGCAAATCCTTCATCATCAAAAGGGAAGTGAGGCTCGGTGCCTGTGGCTCAAGTGGCTAAGGCACCAGCCACATACACCTAAGGTGGCAGGTTTGAATCCAGCCTGGGCCGCCAAAACAACAATGATGGCTGCAACCAAAAAATAGCCAGGCATTTTATGGCAGGTGCCTGTGGTCCCAGCTACTTGGGAGGCAAAGGCAAGAGACTCGCTTGAGCCCAGGAGTTGGAGGTTGCTGTAAGCTGTGATGCCACAGTAATCTACCCAGGGGGATAGCTTGAGGCTCTGTCTCAAAAAAAAAAGGGAAGCAAACACAGAGGTGATACCCATTAATTTACAAATTCTTTCCACCTTGCTAAAAATATTAGTCTTTGTTGTATGCATTAAGTATACTTTTCTTTATCAATATGTTGAG